CTGTCCAGAGCTCAGGAGCAGCTGTGTCTGTGCTGAGCCTGTCCTGTCCAGAGCCCAGGACCAGCTGTGTCTGTGCTCAGCCTGGCCTGGCCTGTCCAGAGCTCAGGAGCTGCTGTGTCGGTGCTGAGCCTGTCCTGTCCAGAGCCCAGGACCAACTGTGTCTGTGCTGAGCCTGTCCTGTCCAGAGCCCGGGACCAGCTGTGTCTGTGCACAGCCTGGCCTGTCCAGAGCCCAAGAGCAGCTGTGTCTGTGCTGAGCCTGGCCTGTCCAGAGCCCAGGAGCAGCTGTGTCTGTGCTGAGCCTGCCTCTGCCTCGATTGGCAGTCTGACTGCCCTTCCTGGAAGAGGGCTGTGTGGGGTGGGTAAGGGGGTGGGGACTGAGCAGCAGGGAGGGGGGAGGTAGGCTGGTTTTTAGCTGATGAACATATCTGTATGTGATTATTTTGACAGCAGTTATAAACCCATAAGGCCTGGCCCCAGTTCCTGCTCTTGTTGATTTAAACCACCGAGACCCATAAATAATGGCTGATTAAGTGGCTGCGCCGAGTCTCTCAGCCCAATTAGTTGCTGCCTGGCCTGGTCGATGGCCCTCAATGTGTTCTGCATTAGCAGGGATGTGGGAGATGGTGGGGAGAGAGGGAGGAAGTGGGAACGAGTTGCTGGGCTTGGGAGTCCATCCTTCAGAGAAAGGCTGGACCCCACGTCTCCACCGGGTTTTAGACTTTAAACTGGATGACAGTCACGAGCTGCGCACACACCAAATGTGTCAGCATGTTCATCACTTACTAGGCTTATCCCTACACCATGTGCCATCGAGCCACGTTTGCCTCAAACGACTTAAGTCAGATTGCTAATGCAGGCGGATGTTTACAGATTCTGTTTCATCTTAAGAATTAATGTCTTCATTTTTTTTTGTTTTAGGTTTTGACGGTGCATCTCAGTGATTTAGTGTTTTTCTCTAAATGATTGTATGAACTGAGGCTAGCTCAGGCTGAGGGTTACTTGTCGGTGTATCACTTCTAGTTAGAGAGTGGTTTAGTTCACTCCAATAAAATGGAATGGAATACTGTTTGAAAAAAACCTAGTTTGCTACATTTGAACATAAAATGTTGTGTTGAATGTAACAATATTTTGTTTTTTGAAGTATTGTGAAAATCAAACACCCTAACTGTCTGAGATAAAGTGATAACAAATTGTTTAAAATATATTCAAATTTAAAATACTCTATTTTAGATTGAGTTAAGGGGAAAAGAGTTCCCAGCAGGTCATCTAAACCTTTATCTGACACCCCAGAACCATGAGGCTGGTGTCACGTCTCTAGATCCATTTAATGGAGTCGAATAAAGTGGATCGAAGTATTTCATCTTTCAACTATTTGAATGACCCGAACCAGTTTCTCTAAAAATCACACTTCTGCAGGAGTGAGGCCGGTACTGACACGCCAACTGTACAAAGTCTGATCCCGGTCACCTCCGGACGAGAACCTGCTCTGCTCGTACGAGGAGCTGGGAGACTGGCTCTCCCTGTCCTCTCCCGGCCTGCGCTGGACCGAGAGGCTCCGTGGGCAGAATGGGTCTGTGGTCCAAGAGAACAGAATGAAGCCGCTCCAGCATGTTTGAAAGCTAAAAGCCTGCTAAGCCCTAAGAGGGTGAAAGTGGTCTTATTTCCCACACCTCTTAGCAGATGAGTTGAGCAGAGCCTGTGTTTTGTTGCCGTGTGTTTGGAAGTGAGGTGTGATATCGTTCGGTAGGAGAAGCGACTCAGGAGTGCGCGGCTGAGGTGATCCTGCTGTGGCAGGGCCCTGTTGCTTCGGCTGCTCGGCTCCAGAACAGACTGCGACATTTGGCCGGGGATCAAGATTTCCTCGGCGCTGAAAGAGGCAAGCGTTCCACCGTTTGTTACCAGCTAAGGCACCTTCCAGATTTTCGTCCCGGATTTTTAAGATTCCTGGGCTTTACGTTGAGATGGGTTGTGACAAAAAAAGTTTTTTTTTTTAAACAAAATCGCGGCGACAGAGCCGGGATTTCCCCCTGCGCTTTCCTAGACGGCAGAGGGAGAGCATGTGCATGCGTGACTCTCGCAAAGCTTGAAAAACTAACGTTGCAGCGGGATTAGATTTCAGCTGTTTTGGCTGGTAGCTAAAGGTCACATTAGTAGTCTATCAGCACATTATAAACTATCAGCATACCATTAAGAGGTACTTCACTTCACAGTTTCGCGGAAAGACACAGGAAACAGCAGAGGCTAAAGGTCTCTGAGCAGCAGACACCATGAAGCATGTTAATCTGTCCAGGGGTACGATAGCAATAATAAACAGACAGCAGGCACAAGCGCCCCCCCCCTCCCTCCCAGCTCACAGGATCAGAGACGCAGCGTGAACCCTCTCTCTCCGCTGCATTAATCACTATCACACCCTGGCGGCGGGACACGGCTCCAGCAGCACTCCCTATTCTCCTCACAAGACGGATGCCTCGTCTGTGCATTCGCAGTGGCATGTGGTAAAATACTTTATTCACGTCCGAACTCCCGGCGTACCCCAGTCTCATCCCCGTGGGGCACTGGACCCCTGCAGCGCCACTCTTCCCGATTCTCTCTGTCGGGCGCTGAATCCCTGTGCTCTCGGGCCTCTCTCGTGCTTCACTTCTTTCTATTATCACTATAATTCTTATTAGAGCTGTTATTCTTTCTAGAATGAAAGCAACGAGCTCTCAGGCATGCTGCACTGCTAGAGGGAGCTGGCAGAGATGTTGCCAGTGGAGTCTCGGATTCTGCTGTAATAAACAGAAAAAAAAGAGGCATCTCTCTGGACACCCAGCGCACAATTCGCAGAGCACACTCCTGCCCCCTTCCCTCGAGTCCGTATCTGGGATTTGGGGCGCAGTCTCATTTTCCAGGAATGTTTGTGAACCACTCCTGAGTTTGTTTAATTATTCCTGAAAACGGGGCAGTCCAGAAAAACAAGACAGACAAAACAACGCAACAGAGAGTCAGCGGAACAGCTAGAAAATAAAAACCGCACAGTGCAGCCGAGGGATGCAGGCTGATTACACATTGCAACCCAATAATGTAAATAAAGTAATCAAGCAAACGGAAAACAAGCCCAGATCAAACATCACTAATATTAGAACAAACACAAGACAGACATGGAGCCCAGACAAAGAGTGCTGGGGCAGAGACAGGGCTGGGAGTCGAAGCGCGGCACTGTCACAGGGCTGGAGCCAGGGGAAGTCACTGAGAAAGCCCCTGGGACACCAGCACAGCAGAGCGCAGGCCTTTATTGGAGCACACATACCAGCACAGCGCAAGCAGCTCCGCCCCGCTCCAGTGCTGCCTCCGGCTCCGGCCCCAGGACCCGCAGGACTCTCGTGAGTCCGACTGCAAAGTCCTAACATAACGTAACTTTATCAGCCCTATGCGATTTCCTTGTATAAGGAGTTTGTCTTTTCGCATACCCTGGTTTGCTCGCCATGAGGCACACAGACAGGGAGAGAAGCTGGGGGTCAGAGCGCAGGGTCTGCCTTTTATACGGCGCCCCTGGAGCAGTTGGGGTGAAGGGCCTTGCTCAGGGGCCCACCGGAGTAGGATTCCTCTGCCAACTGCAGGATTTGAACCGGCAATCTCCCAGTCACAGGCACAGATCCTGAGCTACAGAGCCACCGCTCCGCCCCGCCTGGAGCGGTCAGGAAATCTGCCCTGGAGCTAAACTGGGGATATGTAAATATGCTTTGTGGAAACCAAATACTCCGATTCGACATATTAATTACGTAAAATATTATTAAAAGATTTAGAACAAAATGGAACCCAAAGATAAAAAGTGCATAAGAATATTCAATGTCACTCTAGCAATTCCAGGACAATGGTTTAGGCCGGGGAAGCTACAGTATGTTTGTGCTTTCTACATTACTGCTTTGCAACACTTCTCCTGTTTCCTGTTGTCAAGTTGTACTGTAAAACCTTCCTATGAGACGTGCTGTTTGGTGCTCACCAGAAATGAAAGGGCTGTACAATGTCTATCGTATAAAGACCTTCCATTTTTTTTATTACTTACTATGCTGTTTGCACTGAAGACTACCTACTCCTTTGCTTGAGCAACAGTCTTCCAAGACCTTGATGTGTGTAGATCTGTGACAAACGCAGGGTTTTCTTATTTACCTCTCTTAATAAAACTGCTGGCAAATTGTCCACCACATCCTCAATTAATTAATTTTCCCTATAGTTTGCCTACCGGGAAAAGTAGGCCACATACAAACAACAGCCGACATGAATGTCTCCCTGCACTACGTGCCGCTGTGGACTATGGGCCTTAAGAAGAAGCACTTTACTATAAGAGAGAAAAACAGAGACACCTGTAGCCTAGTCCTTCCCTTCCACAGCCCAGAGCCCTTCACCATGTGGAATGTAGTTGCATCTTTGTAGTTCAAACCTAATTATTTCCATCTGCCTGTTCCGTGCCTTATTTTGTTCATTTAATAATTGTTTTAACTGACACGGTAGAGACAGATAAAGACTCTGTAGTGACACAGGTGAGCTCAGAGTCAAGGCTGTCTATTAATCCACAGAGCAGTGCTTAAAAGGTTCTAGCAGATAAGGGCAGCTGATGACTGGGGAGATAAGCTGATATTTGTCAGTGCATGTGTTTGCTCTTAATAAAGGCTGTCACAGGGAGGGGCGGTAGTTGTAGTTTGTTTGTTGTCCCGGTGACTGAGACTCAGGTGGACCTTCGAACTCCTGTTTTGTTTGTTTCTGACATAAAGTGCATCAGCCAGCACCAGAGGATCCTGTGATCAACTGATAACTGCACTGTCCCCACCGTGACAAGCTCTCTGTTCCTCCTTCCTGTTTCTTCACACCCCACTGCTCCTCTCTGTGCCTGCTAGTTTGCTTTGCTGCAGTTTTTTACAGTTGCCAGTTGCATCCAGACTTACCGCCTCTTCCATATTTGACGATAGCAATGTAAGACATTTGAGCTCTTTAACGCATTGCTTAAAAGGTGCAATGTACAAGGGTACTATCGCCAGCCCTTATAAGAAGAATGAAAGGGAGATTTTACTCATAATTGTTTACAATTGAAGCTGCCAGAATGCCACAGTCATTCACAGGCACACAGTGACACCCCAGGTTTGTGAAATGTGGGTGGTCCTCCCCACTTCTCCAGAGCTGTGGGCTCCCTGGTTTTCAGCCTGTCTCCACCTCTGAGTCCTCAGTCTGAAATGGGGCTTTGGATTCAATTCAAAGGGGGGCTTATCTGTGGCTTCTTAGCAGATTATGTAATGCCAGTGTGTTTGTCTGACACTTGGCTGTCTGGCTTGGACAGTATAGATCA